AGTGGATCGTCTGCGTCAGAAAAATCTGGGAGAGCCGACATCTGCTGATTGGTAAAGGTAATGCGTTACCGCCCGCTGCCCGCGGAGTCAAATGTGACATCGATGTCGGCGACGCGAAACCGATCGCTCAAAGGGTGAGGAAGGTGGCGCCTCAGTTCCGAGAAAAACTATCGGATCTGATTAAGGGCCCTGCTGCAAGCCAAGATCATCAGTTTCTCAACGTCCCCGTGGGCATCCCCAGTGGTAATCATCATCAAGAAGAACGGGGTGGATATACGTCTGTGCATAGATTACCGGCTGGTTAACGGTCTGACTCGATTGATGGTGTATCCGATGCCTCTAATCAATGAGCTGTTGGAAGATCTAGATAAAGTACTCTGGTACTGTTCTCTTGACATGGCCAGTGGTTTCTGGGTGGTGACTATTACGGATCGAGCTCGCGCAATATCCGCATTCATCACACTGTTTGAACTGTTCGAGTGGAACCGGATGCCGTTTGGATTGAAGAACGCACCCCAGATCTACCAACGCCTGATCGATAACGCCCTCTATGGGTTGACCCGAATACCGGAGTCCGAAACAGGTGGGTCTGGGGAAGGCCATACGGAAGTGGATCCATTCGAAGCGGGGGAGCCAGGGGATCCTGGAACCCCGCCCGTGTCAGGACGCAGATCTTACATCGACGACATTCTAATCCCGGCGAAATCGTGGGATCAGTTGTGCGAAAGAGTGACATCCCTACTGGAGGCGTGTACTAAGTGGAATCTCTCTATCAGCGTGGTTAAGAGCTATTGGGCAGACCGGTAGATAACGATCATAGTTTTGTTGACATCTATTTTATAAATGCTAGTTCGTTTCGTAATTAGCGATGTGTTCTTCCTAATTTCGTTGCGCTCTCCCAGCGTTTGCGGATCCCTATTGCACAAACCGCAATCGAGCCTTCAAAATGATCCAATTACGTAAGCATAGACGTGTCAAGTTTCTAATGGGTGCTTTCGAAGCTAACGACTTGACACGGATCCACCTAATTGAGATCGTAAGTTGGAATATATTGGCGAGACGCCTGCATGCATAGTACGTTGAGAGCCATATTTGAGGCGCAAGTGGTAGCTCAAGTCAAGGTAAAGGCCGCTAAAGATCAAACAATGTCACGTCTGATACTTGCGGGAGTGCGCATTGAGAATTCCAGAAAGTGTCGAAGAAAAACAAAGTAGGTCAAAATTTATGGCTCACCCAATTTTCGGCGCCACGATCGCCATCGTAGTGACGGAGGATAAGGATGAGCACTAGAGAGCATAGCCGCAAGATATGGTGGTTGTGCTGCCGTGCAAGTTTACACATGGCATAGCCAAGATCATCATCCACGGTGAGACCATCATCGCCGGAGACATTTGTGTCTGTTTGAAACAGTGGAACTTGCAGCGGGTTCTCTTGAGATATGATTGATGAAGAGTTGGTGAAGCCCATTTCCCAGTTGTTCCGCGAGATGTCTTTTCTGTGACGCTAGATCAGCCGAATGAATGATACATGAGCAGTGAAGGCTCATACATCTCCTTCATGTCTCTTGGCATGTTGACCCTCGTAGTGATGTTAATACTTCGGCACTTGCGCATGGTCACGTGCTTGGAAAACTTGTCATGGACATGTTCTTCGAGAATTCGTGTCAGGTATCGCTCTGGGTGACCGTCAGTAGCAATGAAAAAGAACTCCTTTTCTTTAAAAGCCGGAATCCTTGG